ACCAACTTCTGACACCATGTTATAGTTCTTCATGGCCGGGTGACTCGACATACATAATGGACATCCGTAGGCTTGTCTTTAACTCCAACAGTGTCGCTTTATTGCCCACACGTTGCCTGCATTACACTCACTCCGGTAGCCCGGGAACTAGACACATCACAACCTAGTATCCCTCCGCCTACACTTCACTAACATCATCGTGACAGTATAAGTGCACGGCACTATATACTACACCGTCAGTGGTTCAGACCCTTAAGACATCCAGATAAACCCACTAAAAGTTCATGTTAGTTTAATTTAATTAAAATTAGCTCGAAGCAACACGAAAACAGGACAACCAGAGAGCTGCTGCTCCTGATTGGTTGATTCCTCTCACTAGTCACGATTGGCTCCTGGTTGCTAGGCAGGAAATAGGCTGGCACAACGTCACGATTGCTTGTCTTTGGTCATTTTCAACTGAAGGAGACAAACATTTAAAAACAAAGTAACACAATGTGTCCTGGTCGTGGGTGAAACCTGAAGTCACAGATCAGAACTTAGATTTGTGATCTTAGATAGGAAATAATGCATTTAATAATTTTATAAGATACAAACTAGAGTAAGGAGCGTGAACTCATAATTATTCACAGTGAATAAACTCATCACACTCACAGGTGGACAGGTGCTCAGTGGCTCCGCTCACATCCATGTGACTCAGCATTCAGTCACAAAGACAAAATAATGAAAATATATCAGAAACACCAACTCATCACATTCACCAAGAAATATGAACCATCACTAACCTAATATAATACAATTATTAATTAATGGCTCCTATTAAATCTTAATCTTTCAGGAGGCATCCATCACTTCTATCCGCCTGATGTAGCGGAGCACATGGGAGGAGGAAGGTTGTTCTATATAATGTCATTTAGCTAAAGATTAGTCTGAATTGCTAAGCTAGGCAGTTTGAGTCTGTGATCGGACCTTACTCGACCATTATTCACTGACGTTCAGATACAACTCTGAAGCACACAGTTGTATTTCAATGCATTATAACTTCGTTTATCCACTTTAAACAGAGGAGCAACCCCTGATGTTGTGGGAACTGTTTATATTCCTTTAGGCAGAGATTAGTTTGGAGCGCTCTCATTGGACAGGAAGGTTTAAAAATGCTTCACCATCAAAAGATACTGAATATCAAACTTATTCAGTTGGTTTTATGTTGTTCAAGTTCTTTTTAAAAGCCCATTATGGACATTTTCTACCTTACAATAAGAGAATCCTGTTGATGCCGTTTTCTACTGATAGACGTCCTAAAACATGGGTTCCAGTTTCCAGTTTAAAGCTAGGAGTTAAATCACTATAGCAGATTACACAATAAAATAAAAGTTTCTGTCACAATATGTCTGATTAATTATCAGAAATTAATGAATGTACAGGTGCATTTCAATAAATTAGAATATCATGACAAAGTTCATTTATTTCAGAAATTCAATTCAAAAAGTGAAACTCATTATATAGATTCATTACACACAGAGTGAAATATTTCAAGTCTTTATTTCTTTCAAGTTTTATGATTGTGGCTTACAGCTAACAAACCCAAAATTCAGTATCTTAGAAAATTAGAATATTTCATAAGACCAATACATTTTAACACAGAAATGTCTGCTTATTCAAAAGTATGTTCATATATGCACTCAATACTTGGTCGGGGCTAATCTTCCATGAATTATTGCATCAATGCAGCGTGGCATGGAGGCAATCAGCCTGTGGCACTGCCGAGGTGTTATGGAAGTCCAGGTTGCTTTGATAGCGGCCTTCAGTTCGTCTGCATTGTTGGGTCTGGTGTCTCTCACCTTCCTCTTGACAATAGCCCATAGATGCTCTATGGGGTTCAGGTCAGGTGAGATTGCTGGCCAATCAAGCACAGTAAAACCATGGTCATTAAACCAGGTATTGGTACCTTTGGCAGAGTGGGCAGGTGCCAAGTCCTGCTGGGAAATGAAATCAGCATCTCCATAAAGCCTGTCAGCAGAAGGAAGCATGAAGTGCTCCAAAATGTCCTGGTAGACATTTGGCTGCGTTGACTTTGGACTTGATAAAACACAGGGGACCAACACCAGCAGATCCCCAAATCATCACTGACTGTGGAAACTTCACACTGGACTAAAAGCAACTTGGATTCTGTGCCTTTCCACTCTTCCTCCAGACTTTGGAGGAAGACCTCGATTCCCAAATGAAATGCAAACTTCACTTTCATCTGAAAAGGGGACTTTGGACCACTGAGCAACAGTCCAGTCCTTTTTCTCCTTAGCCCAGGTAAGACGCTTCTGACAGTTGTAGCCCATGTCCTGGATACATCTGTGTGTGGTGGCTGTTGATGCACTGACTCAGCCTCAGTCTACTCCTTGTGAATCTCACCCAAATTATTGAATGGTCGTTGCTTCACAATCCTCTCAAGGCTGCGGTTATCCCTGCTGCTTGTGTACCTTTTTCTACCACACTTTTTCCTGCCACTCAACTTTCTATGAATATGCTTGGATACAGCACTCTGAACAGCAAGCTTCTTTAGCAATGACCTTCTGTGGCTTTCCCTCCTTGTGGGTGGCAATGACTGTCTTCTGGACAACCGTCAAGCCAGCAGTCTTCCCCATGATTGTGTAACCTACTGAACCAGACCATTTAAAGGCTCAGGAAACCTTTGCAGGTGTTGACTTAATTAACTGATTAGAGTGTAACATTGTGAGTCAACAATATTGAACTAGTACTAATATTAAAATTTTCTGAGATACTGAATTTTGGGTTTGTTAGCTGTAAGCCATAGTCAAAATTAAAAGAAATAAAGGCCTGAAATGTTTCACTGTGTGTAATGAATCTATACGAGTTTCCCTTTTTGAATTTGACTACTGAAAGAAATGAACTTTACCATGATATTCTAATTTAAATCTACAGGCGCATCTCAATAATCTCAAGTCAAACAAATCTTTACAAGTTAGGAAAAAAGGGAATAGACGGATTTAGTAATGCTTTGGTTTATTATCACACACACACACACACACACACACACACGTGAGGGGTGAATGGGTGGGTCAGGCGTGTCAGGCAGTGGTGGGGCGCCCGTGGTGGTGGTCGTCATCGGGACGCCTGGGGCGCTAGGGGCCACCCATGGTGGTGGTAGTCAGCAGGGCGCCCTGTAGGCGCTCGGGGCGTCCGTGTCCCGGGTGTCCCGGGTGCGCGGGGTGCCCCGGGTGTCCCGGGTGCCCCGGGTGCGCGGGGTGCCCCCGGATGTCCCGGGTGCCCCGGGTGCGCGGGGTGTCCCGGGTGTCCCGGGTGCCCCGGGTGCCCCGGGTGCCCCGGGTGCGCGGGGTGTCCCGGGTGTCCCGGGTGCCCGGGTGCCCGGGTGTCCCGGGTGCGTGGTGGTAGTCGTGGTGGTGGTAGTAGTAGTAGTTGGGGCGCCCGTGGTGGTGGTAGTGGTGGTGGTCGTCGTCGGGGCGCCCGTGGTGGTGGTCGTCGTCGGGCGCCCGTGGTGGTGGTCGTCGTCGGGGCGCCCGTGGTGGTGGTGGTCGTCGTCGTCGTCGGGGCGCCCGTGGTGGTGGTGGTGGTGGTCGTCGTCGTCGTCGTCGGGGCGCCCGTGGTGGTGGTGGTGGTGGTGGTGGTCGTCGTCGGGGCGCCCGTGGTGGTGGTGGTGGTGGTGGTTGTCGTCGTCGTCGGGCGCCCGTGGTGGTGGTGGTCGTCGGGCGCCCGTGGTGGTGGTGGTCGTCGTCGTCGGGGCGCCCGTGGTGGTGGTGGTCGTCGGGGCGCCCGTGGTGGTGGTGGTCGTCGTCGTCGTCGTCGTCGGGCGCCCGTGGTGGTGGTCGTCGTCGTCGTCGTCGTCGGGGCGCCCGTGGTGGTGGTCGTCGTCGTCGTCGTCGGGCGCCCGTGGTGGTGGTCGTCGTCGTCGGGGCGCCCGTGGTGGTGGTCGTCGTCGTCGGGCGCCCGTGGTGGTGGTCGTCGTCGTCGGGCGCCCGTGGTGGTGGTGGTCGTCGTCGTCGGGCGCCCGTGGTGGTGGTGGTGGTGGTCGGGCGCCCGTGGTGGTGGTGGTCGGGCGCCCGTGGTGGTGGTGGTCGGGCGCCCGTGGTGGTGGTGGTCGGGCGCCCGTGGTGGTGGTGGTCGGGGCGCCCGTGGTGGTGGTGGTCGGGCGCCCGTGGTGGTGGTCGTCGGGCGCCCGTGGTGGTGGTCGTCGTCGTCGTCGGGGCGCCCGTGGTGGTGGTGGTCGTCGTCGTCGTCGGGCGCCCGTGGTGGTGGTGGTCGTCGTCGTCGGGGCGCCCGTGGTGGTGGTGGTCGTCGTCGTCGGGGCGCCCGTGGTGGTGGTGGTGGTCGTCGTCGTCGTCGGGCGCCCGTGGTGGTGGTGGTGGTGGTCGTCGTCGTCGGGGCGCCCGTGGTGGTGGTGGTGGTCGTCGTCGTCGGGGCGCCCGGGTGGTGGTGGTGGTGGTCGTCGTCGGGCGCCCGTGGTGGTGGTGGTGGTGGTCGTCGTCGGGCGCCCGTGGTGGTGGTGGTGGTGGTCGTCGTCGGGCGCCCGTGGTGGTGGTCGTCGTTGGGGCGCCCGTGGTGGTGGTCGTCGTTGGGCGCCCGTGGTGGTGGTGGTGGTGGTCGTGGTGGTCGTCGTGGTGGTGGTCGGGCGTCAGACGTGTCAGCCAGTGGTGGGGCGCCCGTGGTGGTGGTGGTGGTCGTCGTCGGGCGCCCTGGTGGTGGTGGTGGTGGTGGTCGTCGTCGGGCGCCCGTGGTGGTGGTGGTGGTCGTCGTGGTGGTGGTCGGGCGTCAGACGTGTCAGCCAGTGGTGGGGCGCCCGTGGTGGTGGTTGTCGTCGTGGCGCCCGTGGTGGTGGTGGTGGTGGTCGGAGCGCCCGTGGTGGTGGTCGCCGTCGTCGGGGCGCCCGTGGTGGTGGTCGCCGTCGTCGGGCGCCCGTGGTGGTGGTCGCCGTCGTCGGGCGCCCGTGGTGGTGGTCGCCGTGGGGGGTCGTCGTCGGGGCATCAGACGTGTCAGCCAGTGGTGGGGGCGCCCGTGGTGGTGGTGGTGGTGGTCGTCGTCGTAGTGCCCGTGGTGGTCGCAGTCGTCGGGCGCCCGTGGTGGTGGTCGCCATCGTCGTCGTCGCCCGGGCGCCCGTGGTGCTGCTGGTGGTGGTCGTGGTCGTCGCCGGGGCGCCCGTAGTGGTGGTCGTCGTCGCCGGGCGCCCGTAGTGCTGCTGGTGGTGGTCGTCGTCGCCGGGCGCCCGTGGTGCTGCTGGTGGTGGTCGTCGTCGTCGCCGGGGCGCCCGTGGTGCTGCTGGTGGTGGTCGTCGTCGTCGCCGGGGCGCAAGTGGTGGTGGTGGTCGTCGTCGGGGGCGCAAGTGGTGGTGGTGGTGGTCGTCGTCGTCGGGCGCAAGTGGTGGTGGTGGTCGTCGTCGTCGGGCGCAAGGGTGGTGGTGGTCGTCGCCGGGCGCAAGTGGTGGTGGTGGTGGTCTTCGTCGGGCGCAAGTGGTGGTGGTGGTGGTGGTGGTGGTGGTGGTCGTCGTCGTCGTCGTCGGGCGCAAGTGGTGGTGGTGCTGGTACTGGTGGTAGTCGTCGGGCGCCAGGGGTGTCGATTCCGGTATACGGCCCTTCAGGAATTTCATCAAATCCCCACAACTCAAAGATTTCTGTGTCAGCATCAGTCACTTCGTCATTCCGGAACCCACTGGGCTCCGTCGGTTCCTGGATGACGGGCTCCACTAGAACTTGCTCAAAGTCCCAAAGCTCCCACAGGTTGGGGTTTTGGAGAGCTCTTGGGTGTCGATCCCGCCTAGTTTGTGTTGCTGCAGTGGAACAAGCTGCCAGCATCGTGGATGTTTTCCCAGCAGAGTCTAAATAAATCACTTCAAAGATTGAATCCTGCAAAACATACGGTCATTAGCTCTCATGCCTCATTTTAATAAACCGGATCATGTTTTAGACCAACCTTACCAAGTCTGCTGGGGTTGGGATCTGCACATACACTGCTCCTGGAGTCATTGTTGTGATTGCCTGCCGAACTACACCATCTTTACCCAGAGATTTTACCCTCTTCAGTCTGGTTCCAAGAGGCAGTTTCACAGTGACATCTGTTGTTCTGCAAGTCACCAACGGTGGCATCAGTTGCAGGGATGTTGCAGGATTCTCACAGGTGGCCAGACCAGTTACGTTTGCCTGCAGCAGATGGTCAAAGTAACGAAGTCTCAGCTGACGAAACCAGGTTCCATTTGAAACCTGGAGAGTGAAAAAAACACAACCGTCACCAGGGGGAAAAGTCAATATTTAACTCATTCTAGCTCTTATCTTTAAGCAGACTATATCAGAAGCAAAGTAATCAGACAGTTTATCGCTAAATCAAAATTAAAAAAGGGGAGTAGAAATTATGAACATTTGGTATTTAGGGTGATAATGAAAATCAGATATATATATATATATATCTATCTCTATATATATCTATATATAGATATATATATATATATCTATATCTATATATAGATATATATCTATATATATATATATATATATATATATATATATATATATATATATATATATATATATATATATATATATATATATATATCTCTATATATAGATATATAGATATATAATCTATAGAGATATATATCTCTATCTAGATATATATCTCTATCTCTATATATCTATTTATTTTTATTTTTATTTTTATTTTTTTAAATGTTCCTACCCATAATGCCAAGTGGCAGCTGGTATAAGGCAGCGTCAGCAGCATCCACGGCCCGAGGTTACGAACAGAACCTTGACATCCATCTGTCAACAACCTCCTCCCGTCTGTGGAAAGACGATAGGACAAAATAAAAAGATAGTAACCCATCACCCATTAATTAAGATTAACCTAAAAGGACCAGTGTGGGATTTAGAGCGTTTGATAACCTGGGAATGAGATCGGGCTGTGGAAGAGAAACTGGTTGCAGAACTTGTGAAAAACATGAAAGTCGCTCTAGATCCAGTGTTTTTGTCCACTCTGGGCTACTGTACAAACATGGCGGACTCCACCGGAAGAGGACCTGCTTCCTCTGTAGATAAAAAAATGTCATTCTAAAAGGTACCGAACACAATGATTGTTATATTCAGCTGATTAAAGGCAAACAGACATCATATTCACAACTCAGATTTATTTAATGAAACACTTTGTTCTGATGGGTGGACCCTGAATAAATAATGGAGGAACGGACTGTACAGACTTTACAATCTGCTCTCTTGTTTGCAGCATCTGAATAAATGTTAAACTTGTTTTGTCAGAACGTGGAGCCACAGCCAGCTTTTAATGGAGACAGGCTTCTATTGGGGACCCTGCTTTTACTGGAAGTAAAAAAAAAAAAGTCTTAGAAAACTTAATTCAATTTTATTTGTATAGCGCCAATTCAGAACAGAAGAACCGAACTCCTTATAACATTTACAGAGACCCAACAGTACCACCATGAGCAAGACCTTTGAGACAAGGGCAAGGAAACACTGCCTGTTAAATAGACAGGTTGATGGCTTCGATGAAGAAATGATTGAAGTTAACTGATGAAGATCGATAGCAGAAAAACAGTCTAAATATATATCTGAGTTTACGTTAGCAAAAGTCCCTGAACTTGGAGAGCCACTGATAACTGTTGATGGCAGTTGGTGATTAATTTTCTCTCTAATAGTAATAATTTTATTATAGAAGAAGCTCATGAAGTCATTGCTACTTAAGTTTATGGGGATATGTGGCTCGATAGAGCTGTGACTCTCTTTCAGCCTGGCTACAGTGCTGAAGAGGAACCTAGGGTTATTCTTATTTTCTTCTATTAGTGCTGAGTAATAGGCTCCTCTGGCATTACGGAGGGCCTTTCTATACGTTTTAAGATTATCTTGCCAATTTGAGCGATATTCTGATAATTTGGAAGAGCGCCATTTCCTTTCAGACTTCCTAGCTATTTGTTTTAACTGGCGGGTTTGGTGGTTATACCAAGGTGCTAGTCTCCTATGTTTTAATAATTTCCTTTTTATAGGAGCGATAGAGTCTAATGTTGATTGTAGTGAGCCTGTAGCACTATCGACAAGATTATCAATTTCAGAGGGACTAAAGTCGTTATAGGACTGTTAAATTCAGACATGGCATTGAATTAAACACTGAAGGAATCTCCTCCTTAAATTTAGCTACAGCACTGTCAGATAGACATCTGCTGTAGGAAGTGTGGGAGAGAAACAGGATTTGGGGGTAATAAAATAGATGTGCCCCTGGTCAAAAGGTTGAGTTTATGATAGGAAGAGCCAGGGGGAAGTCACACATCAAAGGACCATTTGGTGAGAGAGACCTGGATTTACAGGAGTAACATTTGCAAGACACACAGGGGGGTTTCATTGTTTGTGATGTAATGAGATGCACTGAAATGTATATAAGGGAGAGCATTTTGGAAGTCGGGAGAGAACATCCATGACGTGACCTTCTCTCCATGCAGCATGAAGTAAAGTGACTTGATTATCACACCGGCTTGAAAGTTCTTCAGAGACTTAGCACCTCTCAACTTTGGGAAGAATTTCCACGACAGAAGTTTTGCCTAATGGCTTATAATCTAATAGTATGAATTCAAAAGTTATTAAATAATGGTCAGATAGGAAAGGATTATGTGGGAAGACTATTAAATGTTCAATATCAATGCCATATGATAGAACAAGGTCAAGAGTGTGATTAAAACAATGAGTTGGTTTATTTACACTCTGACAGAAGCCAATTGAGTCTATTAATGATATAAATGCATTACTAAGGCTGTCATTGTTAACATCCACATGAATATTAAAATCACCTACAATAATTACTTTATCTGATTTAAGGACTAAACTTGATAGAAACTCTGAAAATTCAGATATAAAATCAGAGTACGGTCCAGGAGCGCGGTACACTATAACAAATAGAACTGGCTGCAGTGTTTTCCAGTTTGGGTGAGAAAGACTAAGAACAAGGCTTTCAAATGAATTATAATTTAGTTTAGGTTTAGGGTCCATTAAAACACTCGAATCATATATGGCTGCTACTCCACCTCCTCGGCCAGTGCCTCGAGGAATGAGAGTATTAATATGACTGGGGGGGTGGATTCATTTAGGCTAACATACTCCTCGTGGGACAACCAGGTCTCAGTAAGACAAAGTAAATCAATATCATAATCTGATATTAATTCATTCACTAAAACAGCTTTAGAGGACAGAGACCTGATATTTAACAGTCCACATTTCATTCTCTTATTTTGTGCTACTGAGGAGTTGGTTTTAATTTTTATTAGGTTTTTATGTTGAACTCCTCTTGTTTTTATTTCTTTAAATAATTTTGGTGGTCGGGGGACAGACACAGTCTCTATGGGGTTTTGGGTGGGTGACTGTTCTAAAGAAAGAGCAGAGAAGTGTGTAAGACAGCAGCTCTGCTTCCTGGTCCTAACTCTGGACTGTCAGGTTTTAGAGATAAACTTCGCCATATTTCTAGATAAGAGAGCCGCTCCATCCAAAGTGGGATGGATGCCGTCTCTCCTAATCAGACCAGGTTTTCCCCAAAAAGGCTTCCAGTTATCAATGAAGCCCACATCGTTTGCTGGACACCACCTCGACAGCCAGCGGTGGAATGACGACATGCGGCTATACATGTCATCACTGGTCACATTGGGGAGGGGTCCAGAGAAAACTACGGAGTCCGACATTGTCTTAGCATAGTTACACACCGACTCCACATTAATCTTAGTGACCTCCGATTGGTGTAAACGGGTGTCGTTACCGCCGACGTGGATAACAATCTTACTGTATTTATGTTTATCTTTAGCCAGCAGTTTTAAATTTGATTCAATGTCGCCCGCTCTGGCCCCAGGGATGCATTTAACTATGACCGCTGGCTTCGCTAACTTCACGTTTCTGACTATGGAGCTGCCAATAACCAGAGTTGGTTCCTCAGCGGGTGTATCGCTGAGTGGGGAAAATTTATTAGAAACATGAATCAACACCATGCGCTAATCTTAATTTGGCAGCTTCAGTAAACATTAAATGTGACTGATTAAAGCACATGAAGATTTCTGTAGCTCCGCCCCCACTGCAGTGTGCCGGTGTAAAGAGTTTAATAGGTTTCATTTGAACCTTTTTAACGTTTTATAGTTTGAGCTAAAGCTTGCTGATGCTCCTGGTGTGACATTATATAATGAGACTGAATCAGTCAGTAAACTAAACTTCTATATTTCATTCTGGCAATCCAAGTGTGTAAAATCTCTGCAGCTGGTGGACGAATCAAACTCACCTGCCAGGCGCAGATCAGTGTGTCGAATGAGCGAGAAGCGAACAGACAGCGAGCTGCCGCTGCAGAGATACTGCGCCCGGCCGAAATCTGACGCCTCACCACCGTCACGGCGCTCTGAAACAGAAAGAGTTACTGCTGATGCATGATGGGAAGGAATCCAGTTCAACTTCAGTTCTGATAGCTAGCGCCCACTAAAGGCAGCAGAGAGAACCACAGGGGGCGTGGCCGTAGCTGGACTAAGCTAGTGGCTCAGAGAAGCTAAGAGACATTTTTTAACAAAAGTTGATTTTTTTCATTAATGATACAATAAATGTAAATATTAGCAGCAGTTTAATTATAATTACATTTATTATGTCTGCTGGTTGAGGAAGGTTACATTTATTTAATTATATTTCAGGGTTTAATTAGCAGTTAGTAAAAACAAAGTGAGTGTGAAACTATTTAAATCACTTCATTCACTTCATCAGGACAAACTCTGAACTCCATGTTGGATTTAACTTCCTTTATTGATCACAGGTGGATCTTTTTACCGTTCAGGAACTTCCACACTGGCACCGGAGAAAGTCTTCCGCCGCTCCCGGTCTCCTCCAGCAGCGCCGTGAGCTCGGCGTCCCGGTGCTGGTCCTGTGCCGTGTTGAACCGGGCTAGAGTCAGCAGACTGATCCAAACCCAGACCATCATCATCATCGTCGTCGTCGTCGTCGTCATCCGTCCGAGAACCGCCGACATGCTCCACTGTTCTCTGCCGAGGGGAACGACCGAAGAGCGGCTGGAAGCTGACGGCCGGAGCCGCCACAGCTGCGACTAAAAGCCCTCCGTACACCTGGATCCGGCCTCTGATTGGATAACGAGAACCGGAAGTTCAGCAGCTGCACTCGCAGGTGTGTTTGAGAGACTGAGTGAATCACTCATGCTCATTGTTTTATGGTGTCCGACAGCAGATACTGATATTTGTAGATTTATACAGATACTGATACTCTGATACTTCATAACTCTAATAATAATAATAATAATAATAATAATAATAATAGTATATTATTTTATAATTATAATAAAGGAAACTAAACGTTTTAGTTTTGAGGAACTTGAATATTTATCACACTCCCATTTATCTGACAGGTATTCTTACTTATAGGCATGCACGGTCCTTATATAGATATTAATAATAATATATATATTAATATTAATATGATAATTAAATGCCCCCTTTTACTAAGAGATCACAGAAGAAGAAAACAGGAGGGTTTTTACTTAAACAGTTTTTATTGTTTGATGTGTAAAATGTGACACCAGCTTTTACACATAAGACAGTTTATTGATCCACACACACAGGCTGAAATACACACTTCACACTTGTTGACACGCAACAGGGAGAGATGGTGGAGTGACTGGCTGCAACACACACATCTATATATATCTATATATAAATATATAGATATATATATAAATATATATATATATATAAAAATATACATATATATTTATATATGAATATTAACATTAATTCTAATGTTAATAATGGTCTGTG